TCTCTCTCTCTCTCTCTCTTCTTCTTCTTCTTCTTCTTCTTCTTCTTCTTCTTCTCTCCCTCTCTCTCTTTCTCTCTCCTTCTCTCCCTCTCTCTCCCTCTTTCTCTCTCTCTCTTTCTCTCTCTCTCTCTCTCTCAAATGTAATATTTTAACGCCTTTTCATCTTTCACTCCCTCTCCCCAGCCTATTTCACCACAATGAAGGAGCTTCTGGCCAAGATGTCCAACGCACCAGATCTCCAATATGTGACCTCCAACAACAACCCCACAGACAGAACCTGGACCACAGGTCGTCCTGAGCAGGCCAATAGCCCCATCAATGCGCTGGACATTCAGTTTGCAGGTGACGTCAATGATTATTTATTAATACTGATGAATACTTTTTCTGGGTAACATGAAGAGTATCTTACGAGGTTCTAATATTGTTATAGTACTAGAGTTTGTGGCAGTGACGTCACGCATGTCAAACGTGGGGGCTTACTTGTTCTCAGCGGCATGGCCGGCGCGCCCCTCATTTATATGTACAATCTAATTCTCCCTCCGAGCTTTCCGGATGCTTTAGTACATTAACCCTATCCGTACGTCGCGTTTTACTATCGTATCCATGCGACGTGGGGAACTCTGTGCCTCCACTTTCCAGAGAGAAAATTTACTCGTTAATCCGATCCGTACGCTTTGCATAGCAGTGTCAAAATGATTTTTTGAGGAATACTTCAAGTTTCAAAGAGGTCTTCGCACTAGAAGTATTCTAAAATGTGAAGAATACAACCCCGGGCGTCCAAAATGACCCCAGGGCGTTCGGATAGGGTTTAACACCACCACCCCCCAGACCACACACACGCACACGCGCACACACACACACACACACACACACACACACACACACACACACACACACACACACACACACACACACAAACACACAAATACCTTTCTGGGCATATTTGTATAATTTTCTCCAAAGAGCGTCTGGACGTCTAAACGAATCTCGAAAAGTACCCAACTCGTCTTTTCTTATATCTTGTCCTCAACGCTCAGGGTCCCAGAGTGGGCGCACGGAGCCCGCATTCGTTTACGTGGGAGATGCCACTGCCATCAGCTCTAGAACAGTCTTTAACTCTTTATCACCTGGAAGCCCCCCACGGCGGCTTGCGGTCGGAACTGTTGTGCGGGTGAGCTGCTGGCAGCGACTCGGCACATTCCTTTACGACGACTCGGACTTCAAATACCTTTTGCTCGTCAGCAATTGCCGAAAACAGGTCTCTTTTATCGGGATTTCATTCTTTAGATGAAGAACGACCAAAATACAATGCAGGTGCACTTGTTTTGATTAAATGATCAATTTAATGAGGTTTTCACCATTTTTAGATTTAGGACGATGCCAAAAAAGGACTCCGGCAAAGTGGGCCCTCACGAAGATAAAGAGTTAATAAATACATGTACTGATAAAACATCCTAGTGGGTGGTTTCTTCAGATTTTAAAAGGTTTACAGTTGGGACAATATCGCTTTTAAAAGCAAGCCCATCATTTTTTTCTAAACGCATGTTTTTGGTTTTGGGAACCTTTGGCTCAAAAAAGTGTTCCCTATAAAATTTATTTCTTGTAACTAGTTTTGCCACAAAAAATGTCATTGGTGACGTAAGCCATTATAAAATGCGTACGCAAAATGTGTGTGAGAAGCAGGAAGTGCTGTGAACAATTCAATTTTCCATGTGACGGAAATTAATAGTATGTTATATAGTTTATGGTGTTCTCCTCTAACATCCTTTCCCACTCCCGAAAAATGTTCTGTCGTCTGCTTCCATCTCCATTGTCTGCTCCCACCCCCTCACCTCCTTTGCCCCCTCCTCTTGACTCTTGACTCTCTCTGCAGCCTTTCTACAGCTACCCCTTGGCTCTTTCTTACTCCTGTCTTTCAGCCACACCCCTGATCTTCTGGTAAGTAGGATCCACACCTGGCCTTCTTGGATAACGGATTAAAATTTCAGAGGTCCCGTGAGCAAGTTACGCACGTTAAAGATCCATTGGAGGCCCAAAATCGATAAGAGTACGCTTCGGCCGCCACCCGCGTAAAATTTAAAAATTTCTATCAACTAAAAATTATGTTTAATGTGTCCCGTGCGCTTATGTGACCTTACGAGCGTATGCAGTTGCGAACGCCGTAAAACACTTACCCCCCAAAAAAACCCTCGGATCTTCTCCCCGTTCGACTACTTAACTCCCAAACCGCTACATGACGACGTCAGTCTCGTTTCCCGAAAGATTTAAAAAAATGTCTTCAACCTTACTCAAACTAAAAAGGCACTACTTAACGCAAAGGTGCCAATACCCAGTCATGACACTAGATCCTAGAACCAAAAGATTGTTCCATCTGGACAAAAAAAAAGATTGAGTACTAAGACAGATAGATGTAATGCAATCTCATATCTAGTAATACGAGTACAATGATGGTATTGTACCTCGGTCTTTTTGTAGGGATTTTCTATTCCTCTTCACTATTTCCGTCTGTTCGTAACATATTTCTGTAGCCTCTACATGTATCTTGTACACAGGCGACATGGAGCGAGAGTGTTATCTGTTTTCTTTTAAATAAGTAAATATATTGGTTTTACGCACTTTTCAACACAATAAGATTAGATTTTAAGAGGCGGAACCTCCGAATTTAAGGCCTGTTTCCGATATGACCAACTGAAATGGGTTAAGAGCCGTGAAAACTCCTCAAACTGACCACAATTTAAGAACACCCTGTCTGGGATTCAAACCAGGGCCATCAGCTCCTCATTCAGTCCAGCATGATACCAACTGAGCTAACGTAGCGCCCTTCCAATCTGTGATGATGGCAATGCATAATCGTGATACTAGAGCCAACAGATTCATCTCTCTTCAATGCAAGTCGTAAGAGAAAAACCAAACACACACACACAACAACAACAACAACAACAACAACAACAACAACGACGACAACAACCACAGCAACAACAATGACAACAACCACAACAACAACAATAACAACAACAATAACGACAAAACAACTTTTAATAATAATTTAAGACCACACAATATCTTTATCTGTTCTTTTCTCCGTCTGTTTCTTAGATGTTTCTGTTTCTTGTACACAGGGATACCATGGAGCGAGAAGATTTCAGATCTTCGGACCAAAATGACGGAAGAGGATGTCAAGGCCTTCGCCGTAACCGGCCTGGACGAGATTGCATGTACGCACACAGTGTTGCCAGTGGAGAAGAATAGTAGTACATGTAGCAGCAGTAGCATCAGTTGTTTGTGTTGTTGTTATTGTTGTTGTTATTGTTGTTGTTGTTGTTGTTGTTGTTGTTGTTGTTGTTGTTGTTGTTGTTGTTGTTGTAATAATGTACTGGTAGCGCTTTTCCATGCTCTACAGCCTACTCTATGCGCTATATAAATATTGATAGTGATGATGATGATGATGATGATGATGATGATGATGATGATGATGATGATGATGATGACGATGATGATGATGATGATGATGATGATGATGATGATGATGATGATGATGATGATGATGATGACTAAAAGTGTCCTTTTCTGTGTAAGAATAACGATCCCCTTAGTTTTCTTTTCAGACGCTCCCGACAAAGCCTTTGAGTCGAAACGTTGAGCTGTTTTAGTAGCAATAATATTATGAGTTTTGAATTACATTTATATAATTGAAAGTTATTCAAGACTCTCCATCCCAATATATTCTTTTCAACAATGATGATGATGATGATGATAATAATGAGGAGGGTGTTGATGTGCTTGTGAGTGTCATGCGTGCGCGAACACGTGGGCGTGTGTGTATGTGTGTGTGTGGGGGGGGTGCGTGTGTGTGTGTGTGTGTGTATGTGCATATGTGTGTATGTGTGTGTTCGTGTGTGTGTGTGTGTGTGTGTATGTATGTGTGTGTCTGTGTGTGCTCGCGCGCGTGTGCCTGGGTGTGAGAGAATGTGTGTTACCGTTGTGTGTGCTTATGTTGTATTTGTGTGTGTGTGTGTGTGTGTTTGTGTGTATGTGTGTGTGTGTGTGTGTGTGTGTGTGTGTGTGTGTGTGTGTTTGTGTGTGCGTGTGTGGGTGAAAAAACACAACACGTATGTTTTATTTTTTTGTGAACAGGGTTGTTCAACATTCGAGGCACTGATGTGGACTACAATCCATTCGTTTTGGGCTACGCGATCGTGGAACAGAATACAGTGAGGTAACAGTCTTTTTCTTTTTGTTTGTTTGTTTGTTTTGTTGTTTGTTTTTTTGTTGTTTTTTTTTTTTTGGGGGGGGGGGTGTTTTAAGGCGCTCACAACTGTGTAAGGTCATATATAGTTTGGTAGTAGTGAATTTTGAAACTTTCCCTGACTGCCGCCAAAGGCTACTGTCATTGATTTTAGAACCACCAGTGGATCTTTAACGTGCCCAAATAGAACACAGGACCTCCGATACTTTTTACCCTTGTCCGAGAAGATTAGGGGTGTGGCTGAAAGACAGCAGCAAGAAGAAGCCAAGGAGTAACAGTAGATAGACAGCAGAAAGAGTCAGGAGCCCAGAGGGAGCAAAGGGGGTTGGGGGGGGGAGGGGGCAGAAAGTGGAGACGAAAGCAGAAGACAGAGCAGGGAAGGGGGGGGGGAGTGAAAGGAAAACATTTCAGCGAAGAAGATTTCCGTCCCTGTCTGGTTTCGAACCCGTGGCCCATTGAATGAGAGGCAAATACCGTACCCCTAGACCACGAGAGCCCCCCCCCCCCCCCCCCCCCCCCGCCTGTAAGAGGCTGGTTGCTCATTGCGGATCGGGTCGTGTCGGGACGGGTCGGGTTGATAAATGGTGGTGTCAATGCCCACTACAAATGAACCCCTCCCTTGTTGTACCAAAATTAATTGACAACAGTAGAAAACCTTGGCCGGCGCACGATGTTATTGAACACAAAAACTTACCGTACACTATAAAGCCATTTCCTCCCACAACGGTTTCAAATTCCGACTGCTGTGTATAATAATATACAATGTATGCGGTTGATGTGTTGAGAGGTTCTTGAGTCCTACAGCCTACAAACATTGGAATGTAGATAGCTTTCTAGATTTAAAAGTATCAGTTTCTCTATAGATACCTGTAACTCTGGACTGAGCCGTAGTTCAGTGGACAGTTTTAAAGAAAAAACTGCAACTATGTATTTCTTATACGCGTCGTCGGGGAAATTGTAATATTAAGAGCATTGCAGCAAAAAGCATGTCGTGCTGCACACAAATCATCCTTATTATTCTTATAGTACCCTGCCTATGACACATTAATTATGAGTGAGCGAGAACTCGCTGCAGGCAATATGTTAATGCTCAATATTCTATTATAAGTATTTTACACCTTAACCGACACAATCATAGTTTTGATAAGCGATCTGTTTTGAACTTGCCTAATGACCAATTTGGGCAAAGCGGGATACATCATACAGGTAATCAGTTGGAGATCTTCTAAAAAGTAATTCTAAAACATTTAAAAAGAAAATTCCCCTTACGTCTTCAGCGTGCAACAGTGAAGAGCCTAGCCGCAGCACCATATATTATTTTATATTCATAGACGTCGCCGGCGAGCACCCAGGAACTATTCGGAGACGCACTCCCGTACACAGATGCACTGCTTTGTGGGGTCAAACTTCGTATTGCTTGCTGCAGATCACACATATAGCCGCTAAAACTGTCGCAAATCAATTACTTCCAAGAAAATTTCAACCTAACTGCAAAATATCAAATTATGGGTTGAAACAGGGGGGCATCCCCTGTAACCCCCCAGATTTGTTGTACTTGGCCCAGAGGTACAAAGCATTTTGATTGGTCTATCTCCGCCAAAAACGTCCTCTTTTCTAATAGATACTGCGATAGGCGCCAGGCCTCATGAGTGTTTTTTTAGTATTCTAAATAGAGAAAATGTCACATCCGGCATCTGGGAGATTCTCTTTAGGAACAAGATTCAACCAAATGTGCAAACTATTTAAAAATCCAGGCAACTTTCTCTCAATTTAAAAAAGAAAATGCTGGAATGAGATGATAATGGTGCTACCGTAGAATGGCTAGAATAAGTTGGAAAACAAAAAGATAAACAATGAGGTGTGTCAGATTCTACACACAAGACAAACCCTGCTGAATGAAAAAAAATGTAGAAACATACAATACTATGGCCACTGAAAACAACTCAAGACCATTGTGAAAGAGGTGCTTGAAGGAAAGATGTGGGGCAGTAGAGTCAGAGGAAGGCAAAGAATAACATTGAAGGACAATAGTGTAATGATATCATCTCTGACTCAGGGGTTGACGTGTAATGACCCTCCATCCTTTAGATCAAGAGCTGCCGTTGCGGGTTCTGCTATATCCAGGCCAGTCCTTGTATTCATATTGTCCATCCATGCCTCTCTTTGTCTTCCCCTGACACTCCTCTCCCCCCCCCCCATATCCTTCCCCCTCTCACCCACCCCCCTCTCCCCCCCCCCCATATCCTTCCCTCAAGCACCTAATTGTGTTGTGAGTGCCGTAAAACTCTCTCCAAAATCAAACTTAACACGATGCCTTTTTCGTCTTCAGCTTGTACATCCGCAACAAAAACAGTAAGCTGCAGGCAGCGCCCACAGACAACTCCACCTCGGAGACTCTCCAGCGCCACTTGGGTACCTCTGCCCTGGGCTCATGTGCCGGGATCAGCACCCCGTGCGTTCAGGTGAGACTGTAGGCGAAATTGTCCAAGACGACCATCATTCACTACCACAGAATGGGTCGCTTTTGAGCACAAGGGGGAGTATCCCGAAAAATGCTGTTTTGAGAAAATCGCAGGTTAAGTTTTTTGTCCTAGTTCAGTTTCTTTAAAAGACAAGGAGAGTTTTCTCTATAACCAAAAAATATACACACCGATGGAACCCAACTTCTCCTATAGGTAGGGCAGTGCCAACTTTTTGGGTACTTCAAAATTTCTGGAAACCCCCGAAATCTGGGTTATTCCGCTTGTCCTTAAAAGCGACCAATTTCAAAGTTATATATCTGCTCAGTACCCAGTTTTGAGAAATTTGACGTTAAAAAATTTTGAGTTTCACGACATGTCAAGCTTTTTCTAATGCAATTCTTTGAATACTTTGATAACGACTCCGAATAGTCTTACGATTTTGATAGAGCAGGTAGATCACCTTTGGTTTCTGACCTCATGGTCTTAGTAACTCAAAAACAACCAAAATGTCAGATAGAACTTTGTAATTGTAAGGCAGCGAATTGTCGCTGACAAAAATGGCCGTCTTAAACAGGTGGATTTGTACACTGTGTAAAAAACAAGTTAAGGGGGACATGGGGACATGGCCGTTTGAGCAGGTGACTGTCTTATACAGTTGGCCGTTAGAGCAGGTTCGACTGTACGTCTGACAGTTTGGCGCGTGCTGAAGCAGATTGTAGTCCCAACTGTCTTTGATAGGGTTAACGAATAAACGGCAACGACTGGAATTTTTTGTCGCCAGTGTGAGTAAAAGTAATGTTAACAAAAAGAACTAAGAAAAAATATTGCAACAGCTGAGACTGCATGTTTATTCATGCATTTTTTCCTCTTTTTTTGGGGTTGTTTTTTTAATTTGATGTTGTTCTGTTGTTGTATTTTTGTTTGTTGTTATTGTTGTTTTTTGGAGGGGGGGGGGGTATTTAATTGTTTATGACGGTTGGTTCTCAGTAAATATTTTCCTTTGTTTTGTTAAGTTGAACTAAAGAACACTAATGGTAAGACCAAGCGACATTGCAAATGCTTAGAATAAACGAAAAGACTAAGTTATATTTCATTGAAAAGAGGGGAGAATGTTGTAGTAGTGCACAGGCCTAGTGCTAACTAACGAATTATTGAGAAGACCGATGTGATATAAGTAAAATGAAACACACACACACACACATACACACACACACACACACACACACACACACACAAGGGGCTCTCGTGGCCTAGAGGTTAATGTGTTCGCCTCTCATTCAAAGGTCCCGGGGTTCGAATCCAGGTAATGACCGAAACATTTTTTTCT